TTGAAAATCATATTATTTGAGTATATTATAAATAAATTTGATTGCTATACATATTAATATAATATTTTTTTACACAAATACCATTGATATAAATTAAAAAATAAATTGTAAAACCAATAAACATTAAAGATAATTTATAATTTGTAGTTTATGATTAAAATTTAGGAGGATGGCAATCCTGAAATAGTGCACATTATACATCTATTCATGGTCTTTATATTTTTCATAATATCTTTGTTTTAGTTTTTATCTTAAAAATTCATTAACTAAAAAATTGACATTTAATCATTTTATCTCATGTTAATTTTATTATATTATATATATAACTTAGACCTGATTTATTTCTTAAGTCTAATTATGTTATTGAATTAGCATGTTTTGCCATTTTTCTCTAACACAAATGGTCATTTTTTTGCCACTAATTCAATTAGCATAGTACTATGATAATTATAATAAATTAAAATTGTACCTTTGTGTGTTTCATGTTTGTGTGAAACACGATGATAAAAGTTGAAACAAATTCTCAAAATGACTAGTTTACTGACATTATTTTTTATGAGGAAATTCAAATGTGGGAAACACATTTTTATTGAGAAACATATTTAATCTATAAATAAATTTAATTTATTTTTAAGTAATTTTTACTAGTGGATCTAGTTAAAATAATGTATTTTATTAAAAAAAAATATTTATAAGAACATCTCTAAGTAAAAATTGTGGATTAAGATATTAGTTATTTGGAACAAACTTTTTATTTATTTGAGTAATTTTTTTTATAATTACTTTAAAAAATAAATAAGATGAAAAAAATAGGAAATACATTAATTTTTAAAAATTTATTAAAAATATTATAATAAAATAAAATTAATGATGAATTAATTAGAATTAATATAGTATTATAAATTTCTATTTATATTTTTTAAAATAAAAAATAACCACGTGAATTGCTTGAAGATGCTCTAACTAACACATGTCCTTCCATTCTTTCCTCTTATAAAATATAAATTGAAAAAGATAAAATGATTTTATATTAAAACAAGAGTGACGTGTATTTAAGGATTAACATGGTGGACCTGTTGCTTGGAAAATGGGCCACACGTCTTTAAATTGAGCCCACCAATTTGGAATGATTGCAGTGGTTGTGTAAATAAACAAATACCAGATCATTGTTTTCCACGGATCATTAAATAATGATTGGTAAAATTTGTTTATATTCTCTCAATTAATTTTTTTTATCAATTTTAAAAAAATTATTATTTACTTATCTTTTCTAAATATAATGTTATATTAATTATTTTCTTTTTTTTATAAACATGTTTTTTTTACTAGTAATCATACTGTATCATTCATCTTTATTATTATAAAATTATTAAAAATCAAATTATAATTTTTATAGCAAATTCTTGTCATGCATATATAGTTTCTTTCATCTAAAAATAATCTTAAACTATAATTATTAAACATAGTTTTAATTTTTTTAAATCAAACAAATTCTTAATTCCAATTAAAAAAACATATTTAATATTTAGAGACCGAATAATGCTCACAGTACCAGTAAAAATCATTAACATGATAATCAAATTTTGTCAGGTAGATTTGGATGAATTCGACAAACATAAAAATCTAAAAACTGATTAAATCGATTTAAATTTTTAACCCAATTGAATTCAATATTAATCAAACTGATTCATTTGAAGGTTAAGTTTATAACAATTCAATAAATATTAAGCTTTAATTTTTAAATAAATTTAATAAGAAATTAAAAATATTAAATTTTACCTTTTAAGATAAAAAATTAAAATGAGAATGCATAATGCATACTACTAAAGATGTATCATGTAGAAGAATTAAATTTTGATTTTGTTTCCTTTAAAGGATTGATTATTAAATATAGAGACTTAAATGATGAATTTTAATTTTAATGTTTAAAAGACAAAAACACTTTTTTTAACCATTATTTAATTGTATTTAGGGTTCTTACCATTTCTGTATGTGTGGAGGTTCACTATTCTTTATCTTTCACTTTTTCGGATAAGTAGTAATTTTTTCTTCTATGTATTTTAAGAAAATAAAATATAAAAATTGAAATTCATTTGTATTTAAATTAAAATTATTTTATATATAATTTAATTTACAAAAATTATTTTATACAATTTTTTAGTCAATTATTTTTCTTTTTAAAAATATATATATTTGTATTCTATATATCATTTAAAAAATAATGCAACTAAGATCTAATTATATATTGTTTTGATAAAATATTACGTGTTCTAATGCATATCTTGTAAATAATAAATTGTTTATGACTTAAAAATTAATTTTAAGATCTTTTTAATTTTAATTGGTCAGTAATATTGGTTTTAAGGCTATCTTTATTTATAAATGGAGAGTGAAAAGTACATAGTGGATAATTTTACAAACTTATCCTTATTTAATTAAATAATTAATTATTTTATATTTATAATTTTAATATATATATATATATTAATTATTATTTTAAGAAAATATCATAAATATAAAAATTAAGTAAATAATTTAATATTTGTAACATAAAATTATTTTATTAAATTATACTATTTTTTAAAAATATAATTTTATAATATGATTGTATATCAAAGTATATATATTATTAAAAACATAAATATTAATTAAAAATTATTTTATTAATAAAAAATATTTAAAAATTATATGATTGAATAAATATTTAATTTTGATTTAATTATTTATAGTTTTGAAATAAATATTTTTTTCGTTTTCATGTTATTTATCTTAATAATAATAATATTTTTTTAACACTTTTCTTATGGATCTAACCTATCATATGTTGACTCAACTCAAATGCATGTGTTAAGTGCCAAATTAAATGTACATGTGACATAAAATAAAAAACATTGATTTAGCTTCTCAAACAAAATGTCTCAACCAAAATTTCGATTTTCAACGCGTAATTTCTTTTGGCAATAAATTCACCCGACCATGCAAGCATCATGAATTAAGGGAAAAAATTGTGTGGTTTCGATGATGTCCTAAGTCAACAGATATTTTGGTTTCATTTAAGAGGAATAAAATATTAGAAAAGTAATTTTAAATTTAAAAAACATGTGTATTTTTTTTAAATGTTTAAAAAATGTTTCAAAGTCAACCTAAAATAAAATAATTTTTTAATTTTAAAAAATATTATTTTTAGAAATCATTTTGTTGAAAGATATGTTAGGATCGAAGCTCTTACCACTAGCCAAAAACTATAGCCATTAGTTAGAGCGCAACTTTTTTTACTTTAACAGTCCAAGCGCCACGATTCAATTGTGACTAGGCCCACCTGACCTTCGTCACAAGACAATTGATGCTACCTGCAACAATCTCCCCCTCAACAATTGCGCATTAGGAATCAAACTCGTGACCTTGGCTCTCATACCAATTATTAGGATCGAGTGCTTACCACTAGGCTAAAAGCTATAACTATTATTCATAGTGCAACTCTTTTTACTTAAGAGTAACAGCTCAAGCGCCACAATTCGATTGTGACTTGGTCTACCTGACTTTCGTCACAGGACAATTGATGCTACCTGAAACAAGATACACTAATTACACTACTAAACAAGTCAGTCCATATTAGTCCACATAAATTAATATCATTATTTTTTTCAAATTTTATTTAGGATGTAATATGATATTTTTTAATTATTAATGTCTTATTCATCAATAATTATATTTTAATCACTTAATTCTAAATAAAAATTATTAATAAGTAATAAGTGTCTATTAATATAGATGAATACGATTATGTATAACAAGATATTTATACCCACACTTACTCACATATATATCTCTAAAAATGATTATTTTATATTCATTATCTACAAACATAAATATAAGTGTTTAGAAAAATGGATTGGATAGATGCCTCAATTTGGAAACGATTTGAAAATCAATGTATTACTTTATAAAAAACCAGATATTAATTAAATTAACATAAAATTAAAACAAATTCAATAAATAATTGTAATAATAACTTTTTACTTTCCATTTGTTTTAATCTTCTTATTTTCAGAGTAAACCACTATGCATCTTTTTCCATATTTTTTTTTTCTTTATTATGAAAACAAAATATTTATCTCCTTGGTATAAAGTCTTGGGTGCAACCTTATCATGAGAATCTCTCTCCACATATCGTTGGGGAACCAGAGAAATAATAATTTATGGCTGATTTCATCGCGTGATACAAATAGGGTTTTTCAACATAAAAAAAAAAGTTAGCTTTCCTATGATTTCAGATTCCTTTTGGTACCTTCTGCTACAGAAGTATCCTCTAAGATATTTATCATTCAAATGCTCAGTGAATGATAAATAAAAGGAAACCAAAGTGCAATTTCTCAAACAGATTTTCTTCATGTACAACAAGGGAAAGCAAAATACTAGAACAAATTAGTGATCTTGCAACAAAATATCAATTTTTTCTAATATATTTCTAAATGAGTTATTGTCCATTTTAAGTGATGTGTTTATGGAAAGAATAAAACTAGTTCGGTTGGAATATCTATTATTGTTGTTTATACTTGCAGAATAACTTTAAACTGGTAATTGTGACAAAAGGGTCATAAAATAATGCTGCTCAAATTTTTGGTAAAAATTCTATGAAGATGTGGTGGTGGAGATTATTATTTTGGCTACCATCTCTAGACTATTTGCTGACTTTGATCCACGTGGTGTGTCACGTTGATGAACTTATCCATGCTGTTTGTAGAATCATTACCAAACTTTTACTAGAATACTAAAATATTGTTTTGTTGACATTGACTAGAGACGTTGCTTGTGTACATTTCCTGCTTTCCTGGCACAAACAAGATTCAATTTTTCTTTCACTTTTTTTTCTTCCCATGATAGCTATATATACCCTTTAAGAATGGCGATATTGCAGCATCTATTTTCCGCGTTTTGTGAATTAAGAACATTGAAATTTTGTGTTGGTCTTTTCAGTCTTTTGAGTTGCGTAAAGGACAATGAATGCACTAGCAGCCACCAACAGAAACTTCAGGTTGGCCTCTAGGCTTCTGGGACTGGATTCCAAGCTTGAGAAAAGTTTGCTCATTCCATTCAGAGAAATCAAGGCAAGTAAACCTGCAAAGGATTTGTTCTTATCATGTTTTCTTTGCTTGTTTTTTTCATGGAAGTGGGGAATGGTACAAAACATTTTGGTTGAAGAAACTACCTCCTTTTCTCTCCATTCTTCCGGATTTGCTGCAGCCAGAACTTTCATGCATTCATAGAGACAGGGAATCAAAACCGTTAAATCAAGATCAGATAGATAGATAACTCAAATCTTCATTAGTTGGTTCTGATATTTGTTTACTGTTTGAATGTGTGATGAAACTGACTTCATTCATATACCTCCCTATTCCTCTCTTAAATTTTTTGACTAAAAAGTCATTCATAGAACTAAATACCATTATGTTTGTCAAATCACCACCCTTCCCTAGAGACGGTGTTGCCTTGATGACTTTTGTACTTACTGTGTCTTGGCTAGACATGCATAACATAGATCAACAATTACTATTCTAGTTTCTAAATCTTGTTCAATGAAAATGCAGGTTGAGTGTACCATCCCTAAGGACGATGGCACTTTGGCCACTTATGTTGGATTCAGGGTTCAACACGATAATGCCAGAGGCCCCATGAAAGGAGGGATCAGATACCATCCTGAGGTGAATTGCAATCTGACCTAAAATATGATGGTCAAATGTTTATTTTTCTTTCCCTTATATTTTTTACAACTTTTTTAAGGGTCAAATGTGTTTTAACTCCCACAATTTTGGGTCAAAATTAGTCTTCTGATGTTTTAAGAACAAGACTTTTGGTCCTCAAATCTTTTGTAATTGATGAATTTCATCTTTCAGCCAAGTATCCTAAATTATATAAAAAAGAATGAGATCTACCAACTATAAATAATACGATGACTAAATTCCTAGTTTTTAAAATATAAGAACTAAAAGACATTTTGACTAAAGATTCAGCACCTAATACACATTTTATCCTAGTACAGGGATGATTCCATTGAATAATCAACCATGTAAAAAAAAAAAGCAGCAACTGAATTAGCCTAGAACCGCTATTATGATTGTTTATAGGTTCTGAGTTGTCTCATTCAATTATATATATTGGCTTGAGTAGGTTGAACCAGATGAAGTGAATGCTTTGGCACAACTAATGACATGGAAGACAGCAGTGGCAAATATACCATATGGTGGGGCCAAGGGAGGGATAGGATGTGATCCTGCAGAATTAAGTGTGTCAGAGTTAGAGAGACTTACTAGAGTTTTCACACAGAAAATTCATGATCTGATTGGAGTTCAGACAGATGTACCTGCACCTGATATGGGAACAGGACCACAGGTGAGTACAGCAATTATGCTTTCAGAATTTGCTTTGAATTGTACTTATGTGCATGCTTAAGAAATTATTTAATGTAAAACACTCACAAATTGCACTCTTATTTTATGGTTCTTAATGCAGACTATGGCATGGATACTAGATGAGTATTCCAAATTTCATGGCCACTCTCCTGCAGTAGTGACTGGGAAACCTATTGTAAGTAGATTAAAGCGTTAATATTTGTCATTTTAATGGGCTTTGAACTACAGCACCCTATGCTTAACAAACCAATTAGCAATACAAAGAAAACACTTTCACTATAATTAGATTATTAGTTGTGAATTCCATTAAATGAGGGTTCAACTCCCTATTTAGTAAGTAAAACAAGAATTTCAACCAGTAACTAAGAGTGTGTTTAGAAATATGTGTTGCTAATATCTCCCAATCCAATTACCCCCTCTAACTTTCTGTGTTCAAACAAGGATCTCGGTGGATCTCTAGGCAGAGATGCAGCCACAGGAAGGGGAGTCCTCTTTGCAACTGAGGCTTTGCTTAAGGAGCATGGGAAGAGTGTATCCGGACAACGGTTTGTCATACAGGTACTACTTGTTCATATTACTCAAATCGATTTCTATGCTAAATGAAAACAGTATTCATTATACATGTTAATGTTAGGACTGGAGCCTCTAACTTCATGCACACTAGTTTGAAAATAATGTCCTCAACAAAGACTAATAACATACATAGTAGTGAAGTGCAAAAATGCCCCAAGAAAAGTTCATCAATTATTCCCAATATGTTGATGAATTTGAGATAAATCATACGATTATTCATGCTGTGTGTCTTCAGGGTTTTGGTAATGTGGGGTCTTGGGCTGCCCAATTGATCAGTGAGAAAGGTGGCATAGTTGTTGCTGTGAGTGACATTACTGGGGCCATAAAGAATGGCAATGGTCTTGACATACCAAGCCTACTCAAGCATTCTAGAGAACACAGAGGAGTGAAAGGATTCCATGGTGGTGATCCAATTGATCCCAAGTCAATATTGGTCGAAGACTGTGATGTCCTTGTTCCAGCAGCTCTTGGCGGAGTCATCAATAGGTGCTTTTTCTTTAACTAGAAAATTCTTGTGTGCTTAGTAAATTACTAAATTCTATTGTTATCATCACATCTTAACTTGGAAGCAAGCACGAGAATGCACCAAAATCTTTTTCTAGTGTAAATTAACTTCCACCTTAGTCCATGTGATGATGTAATCTTTAACTTCACACTTTTTTTCCTTTGGTCTTTGGCTTTGAACAATATTGTAAAATACCATTCTCTTTATTTCCAAATGTCAGAGAAAAAATGTAATATGAAAATATCAAAGGACATAACTTCTTGAAATGTTTTACAAATTTAGAGACAGTGAAAGTTTTATACAGAGATGGACTGAAATGAAGTTTTACTGAGTTACTCTAATACTTTCTGATAATCTTGTTTTTGCATAAATTTATTGCCTGCAATCCTTAAGCATCTAAACATCTATCTGTTTTCAAAGGGATATCTATGATGAACATTGTCTTAAACCTTTTTTTCTAACTCTTTTTACATGGTTGAAGGGAAAATGCCAATGAGATTAAAGCCAAATTTATTGTTGAAGCAGCCAATCACCCAACTGACCCAGAGGCTGATGAGGTTAGTTTGCCTTGTATTCTTTCTTCTCTTTTAGACAAATAAAAAAGAAACCAATGGAAGATAAATAAGAGGAATTATACACTGTTTTAAACTACCACCTTATTTTGCAGATCTTGAAAAAGAGAGGGGTTGTGATCCTGCCAGATATATTTGCAAATTCAGGAGGAGTCACGGTTAGCTACTTTGAGTGGGTGCAGGTAACTATTTTGATAATTAACTGCTATGAACTCACATGAATTCCTATCATCATACTAATTTGTCATACCATGAGACATAACACCAGTAAGATAAACACACTACTCTAATACTTTCTTTTCAATTTTATGTGTATCCATCCTATTAATCTTGAAAAGAGAACATCTTTTTAGTAAGGTTTACATGTATCTTGTTTTTCTTTCATGACAGAACATTGTCATATATATAACTTGGTAACATGAGTGGTTCCAAATTCATTTAAAGTTATGTTAATTCAGTTCATGAAGCCATTATAAGATTAACTAAAACTAAATGATGAATATTATTTAATGCACAGAACATCCAAGGATTCATGTGGGATGAGGAGAAGGTGAACAATGAATTAAGGACATACATGACCAAAGGGTTCAAAGATGTGAAGGACATGTGCAAAACCCATAATTGTGATCTTCGTATGGGGGCATTCACTCTTGCAGTTAACCGTGTGGCAAGGGCCACCATTCTCAGGGGTTGGGAAGCTTAAACATCATAATATTATTTCTCCTTTGAACAAAGAGCTCCATCTTTCATCAACATGTTACACAATTCTAGCACATGTTTCTTTCTTTATTTTTTGTGTCAATTGTTGTTATTTTATCATTGTAAATTTAATAATGATAATTTTATGAATGCTTCATTTATGCCTTGTAGTTTTTAGAGTATAAGCAATATATTATCACTGCAAATGAGATGAACAACTTCTGGAAAAACCAACAAACAACATGCCCTGTCCCTGTATCCATAAACAATACTATTATTACCAATTTTTTGAAAAGCATACAATTTCCTTCGTTCAGTCTAACAGAAAATAGTTATAGAGATCGGTCTAATTTTTTTAAAATAATTAATTTTTAATTAAATTGAAAAAATTAATATAAAACTAAAAAAAAATTATTATTTTTTTGTCAATCCAATTTTATTAAAAAAATTAAAGATCATAATTTTTAATTTTTTAAATATATTTTTTTATAAAAAATATAATATTTTTTAATTTTTTTATCTCATACTAGTTATATTAATTTTAAATAATAATTATTTTATTATGTATTTATTTTATTTTTATTTTCTAATATATTTTATATTTATAATTTTCATTTATTATTTTCTTTATTTTATAAAAAAATTATTATTATTAACAAATTTATTATATAGTTATTATGTTATAAAAATATTATTTTATTAAATTTAGTTAGACTTTAATTAAATCTTAATTAAATATTGAAAATTTAAATTAGTATCATTAATAATAATAATATTATTATTATTATTATTATTATTATTGATGAGACTAGCTCACTAGTCTATAATCCTGTCTCATCCCGTTTTAGCTATAGGCCGATGCGTTTTATCATCTCTAGGTTTGACTAAATTTCAACATTAGAATAGGAGAACAAAAAGACAATAATATGTATATTTATGATTTTGGGAGACAAGGGAGGTTGTGACCTCCTAAAAGTTTTGGTAACTTTTATATATATTTATGATTTTGGTCTCCAAACTTAATGATCATTAAATATATTTATTTGTATATTTATAATTTTAACCTATTTATATTTATTTTTCCCCAAATTATTAATGAAGATCTGTCACTTATAAGAACTACACAAGAACATACAACAAGAATGAAACTAAGAAAAAGCAAATAAGAAGATAAGTAAAATAAGAACAAAAACAAAAATAAAATTGAGAAGAGAAAATACTAGAAAACTCAAGAAATGAAAGATAAGTCATACCACTTGAAGATATTCATCTACGAGACAAAGAAAGTGAATAATTGTTATTTGATTCCAAAGAACTAAGATCAAACATTAAGAATCATAAATCCCTCATACAAGTATTTCTCACAAATGTGTCAATTCTTAGATAATCTAAAGTGTTTATACAGTAAAGTTTGATGACTATCTATAGCAAGTTGTGGACCAAAATTTTAAATAAAATTGGAGGATAATAAAAATTTAAATTTCAAATTCAAATTCTACTACCTTCCATGTTCTTGGCTTTGAATTTGAAAGTGAAAACCTTTTCCAGATGTTTTTCTTTGCCTCTCAAAAGTTATACTTTCCTTGCCTTGGTCACACCTTCCATACTTAATCACCTTCTTGTTCCTCTAGTCTCTTAGGTAGAGATTCTCACCAAGTGGGGTGATGATGAGATTTTAAACGAAACCCAAATTTCATGTTAAATTGGTAAAAAATCCTCCTATATTGGGTTGAGATGATTGAGACCTAAACTACATCCTCTTTATTGCCCACTTTCTTGTCCTTATTCATGTCCTCGTTGTATCAACCACATATTACTTTAGTTCTTACTAGAATCACATAATTTGTACTTATTACATTAGTTCCTTTTATATATTATGTGATAAGTGTATATTACATTGATTTTAGAAGAAAATAATGTTCTATATAGTCGACTTATTTTAAAAAATATTATTGTGTTCCTTACATAAAAATTCTTTTGACTACTAATGTAGTTTGAGTGATATTATTTTGTTTCTACCTTAATGTGCTTTCTTTATTTACGAATTTTTTTTTTGACACTTATTGCATTAGATTCAAAGCGTGGAGCACTACCGACTCTTTGTACAATTATTTGGTTAAATATTTCAAATGATCAAATATTGCTAGTTAATTTTATTAATTATCCATATTCACGTTAGTATGAAAAATATGATATATGCCTAATCTTGATTTGGCTTTGCAAAGAAATTGTATTTTTTCTTCTATGTGTTTGTATAAAAAATAGGATATATGTCTAATCATTAGTTAATATATTTAATTTTTTAACACAAAGACATACAAAGAGAGACACATTTTATTTTTTAACACACACTCTTTGAATTAATGATTTTGTATTGGCACAACATCAAATGACATAAAAAACTTAAGAACATAAGTAACATCACCTTGTTGATAGTACATTAATCCTTTAATGCTAAATCTTCAAGAATTGAATTTGTTACACTAAATAAGTATAAAAGACTACATATTGAATTAAAATGAGAGTTTCATCTAAGTGTCTCCATGTCTATGTAATGTTTTAATTTGATTATTCCTCTTCATGACTCAATCTAATTATTTTCAATTAAATAAGTTATTTGATATATGTAAACAACATGTAACTCATCATTGTGTTTGTAAAAAGAATACACACATTCACAAGATTAGTCAAACTTTTGGAAAAAAGCATGAACATCGATAACTACTTTAATTTTCATTTCAACAACAAGAGTTAACCATAATTGATGAGTAAAACAATGTAAACAATATGCACAAGGTCATTCATGAATACTTAAACTAGGGGTATTAAAGTGAGCTAACCAACTCACACAGGTTAACTCATCACGGACTGATTTGAAAATAAGTGAGTTCAACCCGGCTCATTTTATGGCGAGCCAAAAATTTCACAATCCAACTCAACCCACTATGGGTTGGTGGGTTGACTCATTAACCCATATTTTTTTTCCTAATAAGTACGATTGAATCGTGGGAATAAAACATAATGGCGCGGTGACACGATAAATATTGTGACGCGACTGAAATGCGATAAACGTTATGGTGCAATTGAAGCATGGTGGAGTGTTGGCACCGATAAATGCAATGAACATAGTGGCATGACAAACATTGTGATGTGAATAAAACATGGAACTGAAATGCTATGGTGCGGTGAGACGTCAAAGGTTGTGACGTGACTGAAACATGGGATTGAAACACAATAATTAATATGACACAACTAAAACACGGTAACACGACAAATGCAATAAACATAGTGACACAGTGGTGCGATGAACAAATGACAAGTTGCCCAAGTGTAGCGACGAACACAATGGTACGATGGATAATTAATGATAATCTTGAGTGAGTGTTTGACTTGTAACGGTAGCGTGGAATAGAGATGGAGAAACACGATAATATCAATTAAGGTTACTAAATTATTTTTCATAAACATAACATTTGTGCAAAATACACAGTGAATTTAAAAGTTTTTAATAAAAAAAAAGTTTGAGTCAATTTTTTATTTTTGGATTAATTTTCAATTTTATTTTTAGATTGGTTTGGGTTTGTAATCGAACAAATATTTAATTTGATTTTAATTATTTATGATTTTATTTAAAATGAACGTTTTCCTTTCTTTTTTATGTTACTTTCTTCTTAATGGACAAAAAATATTTTCCTCTCTATTTCATATTTTTTTCATTCGGTTTTCCTTTTTTTTTCTCACACTTTCTTTCCTTATTACTGAACATACAAACTTGTGTTGGATAAGATGTTTTGTAATTTTTAGAAAATTCAAATACATTGAATTTGAATTCCTTTCATTTCAAATGATTTAATTTTTCAAATGATTTGTTTAGATAAAGTACTTCAATAACTTTCAAATATAATAATTATCATTACTAGATTTGTGAATTCGATTTAACTCACAATATTTAACCATTATTCACATAAGTCAAGTTGGATCAACATAAACCATAACAAACTAGATCGAGTCAAGTTAGATTAGGAAAGATCATGCCTAGTCAAGATAAATTATACTAGATTAAGAAGGATGAGTCAAATTAGGTTAGGCTAACGTATTAAAATGAATCTGGTTGTGTTAGGATAAATCAAGTGAGGTCAAAATGAATCAAACTATGTTGAGTCAAGTTGGATCAAGTTAGGTAGTAGCCAAATATGATAGATCAAGATGAAATAGGTTGGGTTGGGCAATGCTAAGACAAAATGTGTCAGACCAAGAGGGGTCAAATTAAGATGAGTCAAGTTGGGATACATTGGGTTATGGTCGATCAAACCTACTTTGAGTAGTTGAGTTTGATAGAAAACAATTAGATTAGGTTAACATATATGCAAGTTGAGATGAGTTGATTAATCCTTTTTATAAGACATGTTTATAATTAAATGATACAATAATTTTATTTTCTAAAATACCTATAATTAAATATTTAAAATTATAAAAATGTCTATTTTAGTATGATATAAGAATATAATAAGTCTTCACTAATATTAAAGTTATCCCAATTACTCTAACTTCAAATATATAAGAATAATTTTGGAAAATTTATTATTTTAAACTAATTTAACTTTTTTTTATAGAGAAAATGTTTTATAAATAAAAAAGATGGGAATATATATATATATATATATATATATATATATATATATATATATAGTTTGTAGTGTAACTTACTCTTTATTTTTATAAATATGTAACTTTTTTTCTAATGCTTTTCTTTAAGCGAATATTAATATTAATACAATAATAATAATAATAAAAATAATAAATACAGATAATTTTGATAATATTAATAAAATTGATAGATATTTATGCTTTTCCTGCTAGCTTTTAAAGAAAAAAATTATAGTATTAATAATAAAAATAATAATGAATTTAATATTGATAAATAATAAAAATAATTTTTTTAAATAATATATATTTCCATTAATTTTGTTACTTCTTTTCAACTAAATAATATATATTTTCATTTATTTCTTCAACCAAACAACTTATATTTTTTTTCTCTTAATTTTTTATGGATGTTCTTCTCTATCAAACTAAACATTTAGGAGAAAAACTTTTAAAGAAATGTTAGCATCACAAATAATACCATTTACATATATTATTATTGATTAAAGAAATGTTAGCATCACAAATAATACCATTTTTATATATTATTATTGATTAAAATGTTGAACTTAAGTTTTCAAATGCAAGAGAATACTCTTAATAAATACAAAATTAAGAAATTTTACTAATATTCTACCTACCGTATAGACTTAGGAATCTTAGGCAGAGAGAAGAAGAAGAAGAAAAAGAAAAACCAGAGCAGAAGAGAAGAATCACGAGATAGTGGAGAAGAGTCTCTTCAACTGGTAAGTAAGAAAAGCTACGAAAATGAAAAGGACCGGATAAAAAAAGACGACAACAAAAACAACAAACAACGTAAGACCATGGCCTCTTCCTCGGAAAACCCAAACCCAGAAGTAAGAAAAGACGCGGTGTGGAACCGTTGGGTCATATTCTCACCCGCGCGAGCCAAACGACCCTCCGACTTCAAGTCCAAATCCCCCACCGACCCCAACCCGAACCAGCAATGCCCCTTCTGCATCGGCCACGAGCACGAGTGCGCACCCGAGATCTTTCGGGTCCCGCCCCGCGACCCCGAATGGAAAATCCGGGTCATCCAGAACCTCTATCCCGCTCTCTCCCGCACCCTCCCAGAACCCCAATACGCCCCTTCCGGTTCGCTCCTGACCGGGTTCGGGTTCCATGATGTGGTGATAGAGACTCCGGTTCACTCGGTTCAGCTCTGCGATTTGGCTCCTCCGGAAATTGGCCGAGTTTTCCTCGCCTACACCGAGAGAATCCAACAGCTTGCTAGCCATGAATCAATTCAATACGTGCAGGTTCGTTCTCTCGTGCCTCTCAATTTTCACCATTATGTGAGCATATGGTCAAATTAGCTGAAGATGCGGTGTTGTGTTAATTCGTGCGAATTTATATTGTCAAATTAAAATTGGAACGTTGGTAATTGCATTTATTTGCCAAGTTAGGCTTCAATGCACGTTGCCGAAATCCAATGCTCTAAAGGAAGATGGAAAAAGTTGTTGAAGTATTTTGAATTCTTGCAATTGCTGTTCAAACATGCACTTAGTCTATAAATGTGTATTTCATCATGCAGAATTAGTCCTTGAAATTGGTGATAAGAAGACTAAGGATTTGTTTGGACTAACTTCCTCATAAATACTTCTAATGGAGGAAAATACACAGCAAAATGAGATAAGTTTCTACAATAAGCTAAAATTAGTTTATGCACAAATTGATTAAAAAACAAATTTTAGAGAGGTTATGTAAAAGAATTTTTACATATTAGCTTATGCATAAGCTAATTTTAACTTGAGCAGAAGATTATTTCATCTTTTTCTTCTTATTTGTTTCTTTTAAGTATTTATATAAAAGTTTGTCTGAAGAGGTCCTAATTTGACTAAAGAACTACTCATTTAAGGACCTGAGGCATAAAATTACTCACACTTCAAGGTTTTTTATATGTGTCATGGTTATCATAAAACTACGTACAAATGCAGCTAAAAGGCCGCAATTGTGGTTACAATGAAGTTGTGGAAGGTCCAAAAACTTTGACTTGCGATCGCAGACTGTTTTTTAAAACTACCCACACTATATCTTTGAGGAACTAAGTTCACTATTCATTCTATGGGTAAAGGGTCATATTAGTTTGAGAATGGGGATTCATGATTGAAGTGTAATGGTGAATTTTGCTTCCACCTTGCAGACTTCGAATTTTGCAGAATCTCATGAATAAAATGTCAAATTATGTGCTCACTGACTTTGAAATAGTCCATATCGCTGTGATCTCTGGATGTGTATTATGTCTGCCAAATTAATCCTTATACTTTAGTTCTTAGCATTATTATGGGATGTTTTGGTCACTGGTTGTGCACTCAGATGTTCATTTCTCTTAAAAGGGTGTAGGGAGGAAGCTCTTTGTCTTTGATGACTTTGTTGGGTGTGCTCTTATGGGGATTGATGTTTTTACTATGTAATGCAAGAAACTGGTTTCTTTTTCCATCACTGTTTTTTATCATTTTCTCATTCTTGCTTGTTCCACAAAAGTAAAGGCATGAATTTTACCTATAACAGTATGCAATATATGCTTTTTATGCACCACATGCTATATGTGTTGATAAAAGGCCAGGGTGTAAACTCTCAGTTGAAATTTGGGACTAGTGTGGGGATCTTGGATTTATTTGCAGTTAGGTAATATATTTGAGATTGCTTGCAGTGTGCAGTATGTACTATGACTTCCAGACAGTATAATGGTTGATTTTAATTTGGGTGATGAGAGCAATTAAGCCATAAGCAATAGCTGCATGCCTAATTTGCATCATTGACGACATATCTTTTTGCTTTTTTTTTTTGGGTTGACGTTGTCACTGTATTGATCAAATGGTAGTTGCTGGCTACATGCCTGCATTTCCATCATTTTCTACCATGACATTATTAATATTTAGAATTGATCTAGTCTTACAGATTTCTGCATAAATAATTTACTGTTTTTTCTTCTTCTTGAACATGTTTTATCTTGTAAACTTTTATTAATCGCTGAAGGTGTTCAAAAACCATGGTGCTTCAGCTGGTGCATCAATGAGTCATTCTCACAGTCAGATCATGGCCCTGCCAATTATTCCACCTAGTGTATCTGCCCGTCTTGCAAGTATGAAAGATCATTTTGATCAGACTGGGAAATGTTTTATTTGTGAAATTCAACGTGAAAATCTTTTGATCGATCCATCTACCAACTTCTTTTCTCTGGTTCCTTTTGCTGCTACATTTCCTTTTGAGATATGGATTGTTCCTCGCTACCACTCGGCTCATTTCCATGAATTGGATGCAGAAAAGGTACCACTCTTCTATTTGCGATGTCTTCGTGTTGGTTAGGTGACAAATATTTAGTTTGATCTCAATATAATGCATCTGAAATGGGGCGTGAATTAAAGGTTTAGTTTTAGTTATTTTCTGAGACTTGACACTTATTCCTACTATGGGATGATTGCAAGTGACAGATACATACTGAATTGTCTGAACAAATAGATATGAAATGGTGTTAGACTTTTCGTTGTTCCTATTGCTATTATGGTATGTTGAAATGCGATATTAAAATTATTGGATATCGTCTGTGCTTAGAAATTATTAGTAGACATGGGGATATGAAGTTCTATTAGAATAACAGTCACTGTTAAGGGACAGAAACATAAATGAGTAACAAATACTTTTCACCCCATCTTCATGTGGGGGTAAACTGTGTAGTGTATGTCCAAATGTTCTTTATACCATTATTGTTAATAACGAATAACAGTAGCAATAGGGGCTCTTATTTCTAAAGCGCAATCTAACCACACTTTGTAAGTTTAATATTTAATATGTGCTAAAATAGTGAAAAATAATTATACGAGATTTTATTTGACTATCACAGACCAGATGTGTGTTCACATTTCTTTATCAAAAACAGTTATCAAAAGTTTTTTTTTTCCTAAATAATAATTATGGGAGAGGGAGTAGTTGTAGATAGTTGTAACTGACATATTTGTGTGGGAGAGAAGAGTTATATTTTGTTGATCTATGGGGGTGTTAAAGGAGATGAAATTGTGTGTATATCAAAGCTGAATTGGTAGCCCCTTTATTTCTAAAGTGTATAGATATACATGTTATGATATGCTTATAAATAAAAAATCACTGGAATTATACAGGTCCTATAAGTAAATAAGGAAACAAATTATAAATATTAAAGAAAAATAAATTCTAAGATATCCTCCAAGGTTCTATTAATATCTTAAGATGGTACTGTATGATATTTCTCATATTTCTAACACCCGTCACACAGAAGCTCACTATGCTTTCAGCTTGTGACAAGAAAATAATTTATTTTCCAACAAATAATCAGAAAACATAAAATTGAGTTCCACCAAAGGCAATTTGAAAGGCAGTTCAAGGATGTTGTAGAAGCCAAAGAAAATTGCTAGAAAGATAGCTTAGCCAGATAGATGGATGAACCATCAGTAGATTTATTGGCAAGAAAAGCTAGGCCAACCTTCTCAAAACCACATTTGGAAGCTTCAACTAATATTATTGAAAATCCAAAACATTTAAACTTGAAATAAGTATAACCTGTACGCTTCTAGATAGAGACAAGGCCAAATTAGTGCATCTAAGATATAGACAATGTCAGATTTCGTCTTAAAATTAATTGACAGTAAGCAAAGTTGTCTAACATATATATAAATCCTAACCTAACCAGTGAGGCAGGCGATCTAGAACATCCTAACACCTCCTTCCATTGGTATTTGTCAAATTGAACGAGCCTACCAGAATAGGATTATTTAGATGAGCTATAGGTTTTAATACCGTATCGAGTTTCAATTTAGAATCAATTGACATTGAGCTAAGTTGCCTAATAAATATATAAGTTCCATCCCAAGAATTTAGGTACATAATGTGGGACTTCTTAACAAACAAGATTAGTACATCAAGGACATAATTGAGGCCTATGCATCTAGTACAAAGACCGGGCCAATGCATTAGAAAATATAAATATAAATTCTAAGATGTCATCTAAAATACTCCAAGGTACTATTATATATTTCTCACATTTCTAACTATTAAAACACTAACGGGTGTGAAAATTTTAAAAAATAACTCATACAACGGCATCATCTCCAAAGTTTAATTTAACCGTAGAATACATCTTGAATCATAAACTATGTCCTTATTGAAACTTTGAAGGAGCTAGACAGAAGCATAATTACGTCCATGTTAGGGAGGTATCTATTGTTAGTGACAAATAGGAGTGGTAATAGGTTAGGCCGTTTGACAGGAGCTATGACACAATCTACATTAGGTTAGGCTTAACAACTTGTTTATGTGATAAACGAGTCAATGGTTACATATAAAAGCCCATTTAAATAAAAAAATTAGTCTGAATTTAAGTCTTTCAAAAAGTCTTAAAGGCCTAATAGGTTAGCTTATTTAAGTAAATATAAATTTTAATTTTTTGTTAGTATTATTATTATATTAAATTTATGTAGTGTATTCAAATCATACATTTATTTACTATTTTAAATAGTAAGCGTGTTGACATACATAAAGCAGCGAACCTATAAGCTCATTAACGGATACATTTATGCCCTTTATGGAAATCTTATTGCAAGATAAACTTTTAATAACTTATCATGATATTAAACCTTAAAAATAAGTTTCTCTCATATTAATAAAGTTAAACACGGCTCTTATAATGTCAAACCAACCTATTTCTACCTATGTCCCGTGCATCACGTAGTAATGATTTAAATTTTTGTAGTTTACTAGCTTGTTTTAAATAGCACGTTATTTTTCCTATGACAATTAGTCAATTAAAATATTTAAGGATAAGTCATACATATCTAAAAATTAATTAGTCTTTAAGCAGGCCAAGTCAAGATCTTAAAAATATCAAGACAAGCCCAAAAAAGTTTATAATAGGTTACAGGCTAGACTTAAAATTTTTAAATACACCAGGCCTATATAAATGAAACGTTGTTCAGCCCAAACTATCTCCTCTCCTAGTGACAGTGGCTGAAGCTAAAAGCATGGAGTGTTACTGAGAAACAATACAAGTGTTGGAAATAACAACGAACTGCTGGCTTGGGAGTTCCTCATGTTTATGACCTGCAAACAGATAAAAGGTTCAAAGAGACAAGGTCTGAATTTGAGAGGCAGAGTCTGCTGTATTGATTATCTGATCAGAGATGTTGGAAAATGCTGCAATCTGCAGAAGACACTGGTGCTGGTGCTGCTGCAGATGAACTTGGAACTAGGCAAGTATCAGCCCGTGGATGGTGATATCCTTGTATGAGATGGAACGTGACCAATAAGTAATGCTTTAGGTCCTAACGGGCATTAGAACTCTCAGGATTTATTATGATATAATCTAGATTGAGTATATTTGAAATAGCACACAAATAGCTTACACTATTGCTACACATTGTGGAATCCGCAACGTTATATGTTTAACATAACATAGCACCTATCCACCTTGTATTACTGTAAATTGTAATTTGCCCTGTGTGATTCTATTATCAACCATATTGAAATGGTACTAATATATCCTTTATACGTGTTTCTTGTTCCAAAGGTTGATAATTACTTCTCAACAATTATTTTGCAGGCAGTTGAACTGGGAGGTTTGTTGAAACTAATGCTCAGGAAGATGGCTTTGCAGTTGAACAATCCACCATTCAACTATATGATTCACACTAGTCCACTTCATAGTAATGGGTCAGAGTTAGCATACTCTCATTGGTTTATACAGATAGTACCTCAACTAATTGGAATTGCGGGTTTTGAGCTTGGAACTGGGTGTTACATTAATCCTGTGTTCCCCGAGGATGCTGCAAAGGTTCTAAGGGAAGTGAAAGTTCCAGAGTCAGGATAAAGAACGTAAAAACATATTGGTAACCTAATCTCAAACGTTTTAGGTGATAAGTTTCTTTGATTCACATCTGAGGGTCAATGCTTTTTTGTCACAGTTTTCATAATCTGAGCTTCCTAGTCATGGAACCATGAGATATTGGAACATTGAAATTAACTATTATTTGTGTACCATTGAGAAAGCGATTGTTCCGGAAGAGGAAAGGTTAATGAATTTTATAATTTCAATGTTTTTTGGGGGATCATTACGCGTTAAGATATTAGTTTCTCTGAAATTTAGATCCTATTCAACCTGAAGCAAAGGCTTGCTTGTTTCTTTAAACCTAAATAATGAAAGTGATTTTGTGATAAAGTAGTTGCATTGATTTACTAAATTAAGAATGGAATAAGATAGAAATGGAAATGTTTGATTTCCATTCCACTCAATTATTTATCATCGACTCAAACATATCCTAAGAACATTTATTTTTCTGAAGGTACTATTTGAAGCTTACAAGAAAGAGACCGACTAGTTTTTGTTTATTTAAAAAAAATTAAAAATATATTTGATAACATTTTTTGTTAAATTGTTCATAAAAAATATTTTTACTTTAATTTAAAAAAATAAAAATAAAAATTGATAAAATAATTTTTTATTTTAATTTTTTATTATAATATTTACGTTTTTACCACATAATAATTTGATCTTTTAAAGTGCATCAAAATTTTAGTTTAATTCAAGAATTTTAATAAATTAAAATAAAATCTTTGAAAACAATTTGTATATCTTATAATCATTTTTCATATAAATCATATAAAGTAAATATCTATGTTATTATAAAAAGGTAACTTAGTCCATTTATATCATGATTAAATACTATTTAATTTTTGTATAAGGATTAAATAGTATTTTTTTTATATTGTGTGGGAATCTCTTTAAAATAAAAGATAAATATAAAAGGTAAAAATTATTTATTTATTAATATTCAAAGACTAAATAAAAAAAAACTTTATCATTAAGTATTATTAAAATTATCTCTAATTGTGTTTCATAACTCTTAGTCGATAATGGTGTCATCATGTTTTATTTTAAATAATTTTTGAATTAAATTTATTAATAACTTGTATTTATCTTATTTAAAAAAAATTAAACAAATCTTTAAATAACCTTTTTTTTTTCAAGAAAAAAAAGTACACAATAATTAACTTTCAAGACTTCCCTTCCTTAATGAGTCATACTTTGACATTTTTTATGTATTGGTTATGAGCAGGGATGACAATTAAACCCGTCCCGTGAGGACAGGCCATCCCCGTCCCGAGTTTGACGGGAAAGCCGGAGTTGACCGGGGACGGGGCGAGTTTGGGTTTTCCGCTTTAAAAAGTCGGGCGGGCGGGGATGGATAATGCAATCCAGACCCGTCCTCGTCTCCGCCCGACTTTATATTTAAATTTAAATTTTAAAATATTATTATTTTAAAAGTATTTCATTTTCTTTTTCTATTACATATAAGGTCATTTTTTTATATTTCACCAAAATTTTTTTCTTCTACCCACTTTTTAAATTTTTTGTCTTTTTAATCTTTTATATCAATTAATTTATTACATTATTCTTTCTCTTACCTTTTTTATTTATAATTTATATTTATTAGGTTTTATTATGTCATATTTTTTTATCTTATTATTCTTATTTATCATATATCAAATTTTATCTTAATAAAATAATTGTATTTTAAAGGATTAAAGGAATTGATAATTTAAATTTTTATTACTTCGAACTAATTAAATAAGAATTAACTTATTAAATATTTCCTTATAAACTATATATTTTATATTTTTAAATGACAACTTAAAAATGAATTAACTTATATATATAATTAAATGTTTGAATACAATATTATAATAATAGTGTTATAAATATTCAAATATTTGAATACAGTATTATAATAATAATAATAATATTATAAATAAAAAATGATTAAATATTTCTTTTACATACATATTTTAATATAAATATAATAAATTAAAATGTATATTTAATTAATAATAATTATAAATTATAAATATTTATTTATATATAAAAAATAGATAGTAAAATTAATTTATTATAAATGTAATTATCTTTTTAAAAATAATATAAATCGGGAACGGGCGGGGCGGGGCGGGAACTCGAAACCCAGCGGGACGGAGATGAAAACTTAATTTCTAACCCGGCGGGATCGGGGCGAGGCGGAGACGGGGATGGTTAAAAAGTCGGGGCGGGGATCGGGAGGCAAAATCCGCCCCGCCCCGCCCGTTTCCATGCCTAGTTATGAGTCGTACTTTGACTGAATATTAGTTCAATCATTTGGATAAGATATTCTCAACCATTCAACAAATACAATCTATAGAAAAATAAAACTTGGCGTTATGATGTGATTGAATAATAACATTACTACTAAAGAATATGCACAACACCTTGTTATTATATTATTTGCCAAAGCTAGAGATAATGAATATTTGTTATTCATGTGTCTTATCTTGTAGGTGCTACGCTCATATTCTTTATGGATCTATACTTTCCAACCTCTTTTAGGGTTCTCAAGTTGTCATCGTCGTATATTGTTAGCGCCTCCTCCGTAGTTTCATGTTTCACCAATATCTTCTTTGTCAACGCTTCCTCCATAGCATCCTTTGCAACTTCATGTGTTTATGATAAGTGGGGAATGAAGTTGTCAAAACAGTTAGTTCGGTATGATCTTACTAATTAAGTATAAATTTTTTAAAATGCTTTTAAATAATAACCTGTTTTTAAAAACTTATACTTTGATGAAAATTACAATTAATAAAAAATAGTATAAAATAATAGTTTTTTTTTACCATTTTATGATTTAACAACCTTAATTTTTGTCACAAGTTATCCTACTTTCGATAGATATTTTTTTTTAAGTTTGAAATTCACTGTCTTTTAATGAAAGTGTAATATAGGATAAAGGTGTGAGATATATATGACTAAAAAGATTATGATAAAATTTGATAAAATTTTAGAATAAATTTTAGATTTCGAAATAAATTTGGAAACATTGATATTCTATTATGAAAGAACTTATTTTCTTAATAAGAAGTAGAATTGGACAAAAAAAATGTATTTACTTTTCTCCAAATATTACAGCAAAGTTCAATTTCAAATGTTCTAAACTATATGTTAGACAAATGACATCTAGATGTGGGTGAATAGATGCAAAAATTAAACTAGATGTCAAATTAAAAATTTATTTGTGAGTCAATAATTTGTTTGAACACAGATAAAGTGGAAGCAATAATATAATCAGGAAAAGAGAAATAGATAAGAGAAAGAGAATAACACACAGAGATTTATACTGGTTCGGGTATAGCCAACCTTACATCCAGTTCCCAGTCAACTCTTAACACAAGAGTGACTCCCCATTCACTATCTTTCAAATTCAGTTTACAAATTATAATCAACTCAGCAGAAGAACCAGTAAAAAGTAAACTAATTAAAAAGACAATCACCTCCTTAGAAACCCACTAAGGATGAACACCTCCCTAGAATTCCACTAAGGATGAACACCTCCCTATAATCTCACTAGGGATGAACACCTCCTCTGAATAAATCAAAGGATGAAAACACCTCCTTAGAATCCCACTAAGGATGAACACCTCCCTAGAATCACAATAGGGATGAAAAACACCTCCTTTACACCAATACAAAAAGGATGAAGGTAATAAAAATAAGAACAGACACACTTGGGTAATGGAGACAACAAATTGTAGAAGCTTGTAGAATGTCAATCTCCAAGAACAAGTGTGATTAACAATGAAAACACAGAAGACAGTAGAGAAGAGAGTTTTCTCAAAAGGTGTAAAATATCTCTGTTGTCTTGCTCAGAATTCTTTTCTCAAAACTGATTGAATGTAAATTGTATTTTCGAATTTTGTAATTGTGTATTTGATTTTTCATCAAAACTTAATTAAATAGAAAAATAGCATCAGAAAATGGCCGTTGGACATTAATATTTTTGTGAATAAAAATCAGGATATATTCAAAAATATTTATTCTTCAAAACAAATATATTTTTCAAATTTGAATTGCCATAATTAATTATGTTACCAGTATAATCAATTATGATAGAGAAAATCATTTTTCCATTTCTGATGCATCATAATTGATTATGACAGTGAAAAATATCATGTTATGAATTTGATCACACTTGTGCTTTGGAGTCTTATGCATAATATTACTTCATCAACTTGTACCTGCATATCCAGTATTCTAAGACTCTATCTAATCTTCAGGAATCATCTTGGGCTTGCTTGAATCATCATCTTTATCAAAAACATATCTTGGGCATGTAGGGAAATGTTTCACATTTTCACCAACGTCATAAATTCAGTTTGTCCTTAATTCATCTTGAATGGTGTTGACTTGAATGTAGTTGACTTGAACCATCATCAAAATCATATCTTGGAAATGTAGGGACATTTCCATCAATCTCCCCTTCATTGTTTTCACTATAAGCATATTAATATTTCATCTTCCAAACAAAGCCTTTTTTATCGATATAAGTTATTTACTTTATTTTAAGTCAATTTTTTTTATGAACTTTAATTAATATTTCTTTTTTTTTTACCTATCATATTAATAATTAAAAAAACACAAGCTTTAAACTATTTCTAAAATGAGAAAAAACCACTTTGATATATATTTTGATGAATCAACACTGAATTCTGATTTTACATAATATATGGATGTTTTACGATGGTGAAAGCTTATTATGTTTTTAAAATATTTTATTATTAGCTTGAGACTTATGAAGTATCCACATTATTCTAGTTGCCCATGAATTTGTATTCAATATTTATTTTAGGGTTGTTAATAAGTATGAAAATTATCTCAAAATGTGTACTTCTAATTGGAAGTGTGATGGTAATTCGTTTAATTTAAATATAATTATATATTTTTTTACAATCATTTTTTTAATATTTTAATAAATCATTTTTTCTTCAATCACATGTGATGTTGAAAATAAGGAGGAACACCATAAGGAGGAAAAAATTGGAATAATCTTTTATGGTGCATCTAATAATCCTCAAACAAAGATAATTAATCATATGGATTCCTTTTAAAGCCTTATTATTTATAATATGTTAATTGGTTTTATCAACAACATGAAGTTTTACCAAACCAAAATGATAACCTAATTTTAGTTTTAACTGTTTGAATTTTCCAACATAAAAAAGAAAGGGATTTCACAACTTGTGACATTGATTACATGTATTTTTACTGCCATTATATGAATTTTCTTAATTTGATTGTTTAAATTTCAATTTCTTGATGCAATGTGTTAATGCATGTGGAGAGATATATTGGTTGAATTGTTGACAAACATGTGTTCATTTTGTTAAGCCCATTAGAAAATAAATCCAACTTGAAAAAAAAAAGGAAGCAATGCAATTTAAAATAAAATAAAAAGTTAGATATTGGCATGTTAGTCCTTCAATGCACCTTGATAGGGCGAGACAAGGCTTTTAGCTTGTTTTGTAACCATACCACAAAAAATACAGAAGATTATGTTACTAAACCTATCAATTTAGTCCAATTCATAAGATTTGACAATTACCCCCACATAGGTTGGTATGACCAAGGAGAACAATGTTAAGTTGAATCAAGTTGAGTAAAGTTTAATCAATACAAGATAGGTTAAGTCGAACTGGTTAGGATAAGTTGGAAAGAGTTAGATTGGATCAGATTATGATAGGTCGGAGTTGTCGAGAAAGGATAAGAGGGGTCAGGACATGCTAAATTGGGTGAATATGAGTCAGATTAAGATAGGATAGGATAAACCATATGATTATATTAGTTTAAGATGATAAAGATGAGTTGGGTCATGCTTGGTCTAACTTATCAATCAAACCATGTAAAGATAGGTCGTGCTAGGTCAAGATGATTTGGAGTAGATTGAACCATACTAAGTTGTTTAGGGTTGGTCACCTTAGGTAGGTCATCGAGTCAATCCAAACGTATTGGGTTTGGTTGAGTTAGATAAAATTTATTCGAACTTATTTGATAGGTTAAATTAAAATCATCCTAATATCTGATGACAAGTTGATTAAAGTTGAGTTGAAAAATGTCATAATCAAAACTAAGCCGTGAGATAATATGAAAATAATAAACATAAATTTAATAAAATATATATAGTATCTTTTTTCAAATTTAATAGAATGGTTAATTTAGTTTTCTAAGATGTATAAAAAAATTAATTTAGCCATAAAATTAAAATAAAATCATTAAAAATAATTTTATCACCTATTTATTTTCATTTTATCTTATATGTTATTATTAAACTACAATGTATTTCGTCATAATAAAACAAAATTAGTGTGTAAAGACTAACTATATTTTAATAATAATATATATGAACCACTGTTCAAAATGAAACACAACTATTAAAGTTAAAATTTACTTTAAATGATTATTTATTTATTTATAAAAATATAAGGATTACTTAGGAAAAAACATTTTAAAAATAAAAAAGTACTATTTAATCTTCTCATTCTTATTATTTAAAAGAAATTTGAATTTTGTAATTTTAATTAACAAAAATATCATCAAAATTTTTATTTTTTTAAATCTCTATCTAAATGACATATTTTATCATAAAATATTTTAAATTGTCTATAAAAATAATTATCCTATACAATTTTTTTTATTTGTTACTTTAATACTACTATATGATAGAATATGTCGTTTATCATGATTAAAAAAAAAAGTTGATGAATCAAAAGAAAATACAAACATATTTAGGAATTAATTAAAAGATTTAATATAATAATATAAAATATAAATAAATGTTAGGTTTTAAAAATTAAACAAAAATTTTATAATTTATTTATGTATTTTTTAAATTAGATACTTAACATTTACTTATTTATTGTTTTACAAATATTTTTTATTTTTTCAGTTTTTAAAAACTAAAAAAGCTTTTTTGATAATGATTTTGTTAAATTGTTCTCTAAAAATATTTTAATTAATTTTAAAAAATGAAGATAAAAATGTTTTTTCTTTCATTTTATCATAATTAGTATCATTTTTTTTATCTAAAATAATTTTAAATTAAAATTATTAAATATAAATTTTATAAATTATTTACAAAAATAAATGTTTAAAATTGGTTTTTAAAACTATAAATAAATTAAAAATAAATATATACCATTTTTTGAAGAGAATTACGTGAACGGTTGAATCCAGTTTCATTCAAATTTTATGTGAACTGACGTAACATGTCATCATGGGTAAAATAATATTCAGAATAATGTATTCCGAGAAACAAAGATATAAGAGATTAAAAATAATATTTAAATAGTTTTGTCAGTTAAAGTATTCTTATCGACCAACGATAATTAAAATTTTTACGTTTTAAATAATATTTTATACATTAATTATTTTAAGATAGACATTATTTATTTATTTATTTATTTTAATAAAAGACTATCAAAATTACTCTGAAAATAAAAGATAAAATATATTAAAAATAAAGAGACTAAAATTAAAAAAACCAAAATCAAATATTTATATTTTAAAAAGGAGGAAGCATACTTTAATATATACAAATATTAATAAATAAAAAATATTATTTTTGTGGGAAGAGAATTGCAGTACGTACAATACTTTAAATATAAAAATGAATGTTAATTTAATCCATTTATATATTTTAAGAATAAATAGATGAGAATTTCAAAGGAAATAATATTTTAAATATAAAAATTCACCTAATAATATTATTACGATCGAGACATTTTGTTATATTAATGAAAAAAAAACTATAAAACTTAAATATATTTTTATTCTCTAAATGTTATAAATTTTATATTTGTTCTAATAATAAATATCTTTATTATTGGTTCTTAATTTTTTTATTTGGTACTTAGTTTTTAAAAAGTATATATTGTTATTATTTTGATTTTCATCTTATTTAAGAATTGAGATTAATAATAATTTAAAAAATTATTAAAAAGATTTTTTAAAAATAAAATTATTTTAAATTAAAATTTTAAAATTGATAATAATTTAAACATAAAAATTAACATTAACAATATTATCATAATACGTTTCTTGAATAATTATAATAAAAATAAAATAAGAAAATTAAAAAATTCTAATTAAGTAAAAATGAAATATAAATAAACAAATTTGTATAAATAAAATACAAAATTATACATATTTTCAGAATAAAAAATGAAATTAATAAAATAATGCAAAATTGGTATATCTTCTATAAATTGAAAATATTTTTTAACCATAAATTGTTTTATTAGAGGTTTATGGCAATTATTCAAAGGGGGTGGAATTACAATTTTCAAAACTCACGCAACCTACTATTGGAGGTTTATATATATACCCTAGCTTCTTTGCTTACTGCGAAACTAAAACCCCAAACACAGAGACGGTGGCAGCGGCGACCCCTTCTCCAAGCTTCTCTTCCATTCTTTCCTATCCGTTATATATTCGCATCTTCTTCGGTCTCTCTTTCTTCCAATCTTCGTCTTCAATTGGATCATGGAATCCCTCGCTCCTTCCTCTGACACCACAAGTATAATCTTTTGTTCTCTATTTTCTTTCAAGACTTCTTTTACGCGCCTTTCTAATTCAATTCTATTGTTTTTGTGCATGCCTTCTGTCTCTGACTATCGTTTGTTGCTTTTGAAGTATGCGGTGTATGTAGCGCCTGATTTCGTTTGACGTGTGTTTGTGAGGAAGAGTTATTTTTCTCTCTCTCTGTGGTGTACAGGGGGTTGGTTTCAAGTAGGTTTTAGATGTGTGGAATTTCGGATTAATTTAAAGTTGCTTCGTTTATGTTCATGATAATTATCGACGTCGTGTTTTTTTATTGTTGTTGTCCAATTTTTGTGAAATTTGACAGATGATACCTTAGGTAATGGTGAATAGTTTGAATTCAATGGTTGGATAATATAAATGTCATTTATATGGAATTGTTTGAACAGTTGAAGAGTGTTTTTAGTTGTACTTGTGTAATACGTGTTTGTTATGTTGCTCAAATTTTCAGTTTTCTGAAGAAAACTTTTTATTTTTTTCCCTTTTAAATTTGTTTACTGAAAATGTCTTTTTTATGCTTATGAAAAAGGTTGATTCGATGACAAATGAATCTCGTTTACTTTTTATTTTTAAAAAATAGTTCAAAACGCCTTTTTCGTTTTCATTACAGGAAAACATGTACATGATGTTTATTGTATATTTGTTGATACTAGTGTTGAGATGATGAAATCTGTCCTTTTTTAATTTTAAGTGTATTTTTTTTGTTCTGGAGAAACTGTTCTCTCAATGATGAGATTTCTTTACCATTTTAACGCAGAAGCTGCAGATATACTGCAGAATTTGTCCTTGGAGTCTGAGTCCAAGGCCACTGGAGTTCCTGAACCTTCAAAGAAGGTTAGTATTTTTACTATTGCTTCAATGCATTTGAAATTTTGGATTTGTGGTGTGATAACAAATTCTTATCGTCTTCTTCTATACAGAGTGCGCATGGTCTAGCCAAGGGGATGTCCAAGCCATTTAACCTAAATGCAAGCTTCACTCCAAATGGTCATCAGTCTACTGCGTACTATTATGGAGGTAAGGTAAGCTGTTATGACTTCGGAGGATGATGTAGAAGTTATTGATTGAATAACTTATCCTTCTGGAAAATTGATGTGGTTAAGAGTCTGTGCAGGTTATGATGGGCAAGGTGATTGGAACCCTTACTCCAGATATATGAACCCTAACGGAGCGATGACACAAGTAAATACTTTATTCTGGTTACTACTAGACTTTTGTGAAGCTGTGTATGTAATTTTATGTTACAATTATAATTATAATTGAGAATTCCGGCTAAGATCTATTATGTATTGTCGAATTTCTGCTATATGTTATTGTTAACATCATCACCAGACTATGGTGGATGGATGCTTTCTACTTTCTTAAATTATGCATGATATCTTCTGGGTGGTTGTAAATTGTTACGTCAATGTAACACTTCAAGTTTGTGTATTACATAAACATTCTGTTTCAAATTTTAAATAGTAAATAGCAGTGCATAAGTTCTTCTTGTAGATATCCTATCCTAAAATCGTTAGTAGATGTTGCTATAGTTTTGACCACTTTGGTTTGCCTAAAGTCATTTGGAATAAATAAAATAACATTCTGCGGTTAGCATTTTTATATTGGCACCATCCTTGATTAGGAAATTACACCATCTCCTTTGCCTTTTCATTTTTAAGGGTATAAAGTAAGTGGTGTGATCATAGATTGTTGCAAGAATATGATTTGCTTCTTACCATTTTTAATCAATAAAATATAGATTTACTAAATTGTTAAATTTGAGACAATCTCATAGTTTTTTTGTGTGTAATGAATTAAATAATAGGGTGTTTGGGGTGATGGATCTTCTTATTTGTACCATCAAGGTTATGGGTATGCACCATATGGAGCACCCATACAACATGATGATAAACTCTATGGGCTGCAACAGTACCAGTACCCTTCTTCTTACTACCAGTCTCCAACTTCTGCTGATGTGGCAGTTGCTCCTAACAAAAACAGTGCTCAACAAGAGAAAATATCAACCGCAATTAGTGATGAACATATCCCTTCATCTGCTGTTATTAATAACGGAAGTACAGTTGGTGTGGTCAGCGAAGATTCTACAAAGAACAGAGGGCTGAAGGATTTTTTGTCAAATTCCAAGCTCTCATTGTTGAATTCAGTTGACTCTTATCAAAGGACAGTCTTTCCGGTATATGTTCCTTTATCAGGATATCAAGATCCAAGAGTTCCTCATGGGACTCAACCAGCATTGAGTTCAGATCCCTTATTATTATCTGATAAAAAGTCCAATGCTGGCGCAAAAGTTGGATTATCTTCAGCTGTGCCTGGCAAAAGTATTTCCTATCAAAGGAATACAGCTATTGCTCAGCCACTTCCACAGTCCATGGTAAGCTTTTCTGTCATGCCCCTCCTGTTTATCTGCTTCAGACAGCATCTAAGTACTTAAGTGATTTTTTTTTCTTTACAACTTTATCTTACATTTGTAAGCTGTACCTTGCTGTCTAATGTTTTCCAAAAGAATATATTTTCCTCAACCAATTTTCCACTTATATTACGTTAGGTAAGCCCAATGTACTGGTTTCTGTTAATTGAGGGAGTTATAGTTAGTCAGAAGAAGGTTAAGACCGATATTTTTAGTCGGAAGTTGGTTTTGGAGGGAAATATCTCTGATCTTTAAATCCTCAAGAGGAGCAACTAGTATTCATTCATCCCTCCCTATTCCTGGCCTGGGTTCATCACTGGTATGTGGCCATGGGGGATCTCATCAAGAAATTCCTGTCTGTTTTGTCATTCTTTCTGAAATATCAGACGCAGTATCCATCATATTTGTCATATATTATTATATGGGTTTTGGAGGGACATATCGCAGGCTCTGAATCCGTAACCCTCTCTCCCTATTCCTAACCTCGATTCACCATTGGTCTGTGGCCCTGGGCGTTCTCATCATGAAATTCCTGTTTTTGTCATTCATTCTTGAACATTAGAACCAGTATATATCATATTTCTGTCATATATATGATTATGGGTATAGCTATTGTGGTTATGCATGTTCTGATCATATTACCTATTTATCCAACCACATGGTCATGAAATTTTTTATGCAGCTTGTCCTATGCTTGATAGCTTGATTTTGGCTTGTGCACAACATTCTTTCTAATAGTAAACTGAACTAAAAATTCACCCTTAAATTGATTCTTTGATGCAGAGCTATGGTTCCATAAATTCATCTGGAATAGAACCACTCTATGGATTCATTAATGGGATATACCCAAGCAACACAATGTACAGCCAATATGGAAACACATATAGAGCTAATTCTCATGTTGGACCTGCTCCCTATGGATTTAGAATGGGTTCTGTCACTAACAAGTTTAAAGCCACAAATGGCCGTTTTAATGATCATGTTAAAAAAAATATGGATGGCTTTGGTGAGCTGAATAAGGGACCAAGATCTGGAAATGGTTCTAATGATAAAAGCATCAAAGGTCCTGGACCTGCCACGTTATTACTCAAGGGACAGAATCTTCCAATTAAAAGTGATAATAAAGAATTACCTCCCATTCCTAATAAGGAACAGTACGACGGAGAAGATTTCTCTGAGGCTTATTCTGATGCAAAATTCTTTGTAATCAAATCTTATAGTGAGGATGATATTCATAAAAGTATAAAATATAATGTTTGGGCAAGCACCCTTAATGGCAACAAAAAGCTGGATGTAGCATATCGTGGGGCCAAGGAGAAGCCTGGCGACTGCCCTGTATTTTTGCTATTTTCGGTGAGTTGTTGACTTCATATGGCATTTAGTTTAATTCCTATTCTTTCTTCGTCTTACTATGCCGCACTCTGTTTCTTGATGTGCAGGTCAACACTAGTGGACAATTTGTTGGTTTAGCAGAGATGGTCAGTCCAGTGGATTTCGGTAGAACTGTGGAGTACTGGCAGCAGGACCGGTGGACTGGTTGCTTTTCTGTGAAGTGGCATATCATAAAAGATATCCCGAACAGTGTGTTGAGGCACATTACTCTAGAAAACAATGAAAACAAACCTGTTACTAATAGTAGGGACACTCAAGAGGTATTCACGCAGTGTTGTTTTTTTTTTCATTCCCACGGATCTCTTCCCCTTTCAACTAGCTGTAACTTACCTATATTCTTCTGCAGGTTAACTTTGACAAGGGTATTCAAGTTCTCAAAATCTTCAAGGAGCAGTCAAGCAAGACATGCATCCTGGATGATTTTGGTTTTTATGAGACTCGTGAAAAGATGATTCAGGAAAGAAAATTTAAACAGGTAAATCTAACCTTGAAATTACATACTAAGAACAAGATCTAGCATTTGAAATGTTCCAGCGAATTTTTCCTGTTTTTTATAACTTTGCACCTTCTAAATGTTGGATAGTAAGAGATATTCAGAATGAAGTCATTTAAGTGGCCTCTCCTGCCCATTAAACTCTTCAATCCTTTGTTCCGTTGTAGGTTAGCAAGTTCAATGATTTAACAACAAATGGAACCGTAATGTTACCCAAGTCTCATGATGAAGCCTTGATTAATGAACCAGCTACTACAGATGAAGCACCACAAAAGGAGGAGTTGGTTGAAGTGAATGGATCAACAACTCAAGCAATTGAAGAGTGTTCAAAGAAATGCTAAACCTGTGAAAGTGCTAGATAGTAGAATGGTTAAAAATGTAGTTCCTAGTATCCCCCTACCCCTTTTTCCATTCCTTTTTAATGCATTCCTTTATATAGGATGGAGCTAGTTTTTGTATTTCGTTTTGCTAGTTATACCTGCTTATTTTGTTTGACCTTGGTTGTAGCCATATTGCATACCGCTTTTTGAAGAAAAATTACAAAAATTATAAAGTGAGATTGAAAATAATGAATTTAACTTTGACACACTAGTCATGAAAGTTGGCATTTTTAAAAAATATACAAGTAGAAAAATCATACTACTATTTACTATTTGTTGTCCATTAATTCATAATTTATTTATTTTCACGAGCTCTCAAGTGGTCCATTATATACCATAAATAACAACCATTGGATCCCTGAGGTGCATAGTTTTATCAAGTTTATCCTATCGGATCTTTTCTTCTCTGCCATGGCGTTGTTGTTGTCTCTTCCCAACCTTGGGCTCATCATCTTCTCTTCTGTTCCTATACATGCCAACTGCTACCTTTATTGTATCCAACTGAACTAATTACTCTAAGCCTCCTTCGATGGCGACATCTCAAGGTTTTTCATCCCACCTCTATTCTCGACAATCTCCTCTTTTTCACCATCTTCATGAAGAAGAAATTAAGAATAATCCAAAATGAGAAACAATTATCTTAGTGCGCTTATTCTCCACCAGGGAGATGACAAGGTTGAAGGAATCCTCAAAGAAAAGCGCTAATTCAAACCCATAGTTAAATATAATTTTCAATATTAAATAATATAATTTATTTTTAAAGAATATTTTTTTAGCCCAGTTAGATTTTTCTTTTAACAAAAATCTGAGTTGGAAGACCTTTGTAGGTGTTGTTGGCAATGAGCTGCAGTAGCGGGGGTAATTAACAGTGATGCAGAGATAAATAAATTGAATGTATTGTAGAGGGTTTAATGTAGTGATAGAAAAAGATGCCATACAAAGGTGCATTTACGTTTCTCTCACGACGCTACCTCATTCTTCTCTTAATCTTAATATTATAACAAAAGCATGGATTTGTATACCAAAATGATGTGATTTTACATTTCAGCTCAAAATAATAAATCTAACAAAATAAAGAATCAGCCAAAATTTATTTTATAAAAAAAATTACAAACAAAAGGTTAAATCGGAATATTAAATTAGAACAATTAAGTCCAAACATATATCTACAAAAGAAGATTATGATTTGACAGATTTCAAATAAAAATATGAAATTAAAACAATTAAATCCCACGTTCACTGGAATAAGCCAAAATTAGGCATCATTTACAATTTTTTTAAGTCCCATATTGTTGTTTATGATATGCAAAACGAAAACTCAACTAAATAAGAGTTCCCTACACTAAATATTTATCTGAGTAACATGTTATTAAATTTATAATTCAAAAATAATATCATTTTATCAATATTTATCTCTAACTAACATATTATTAAATTTATAATTCAGAAATAACATCATTCTATTAATATTTACTAAATTAATATCATTTTTACCTACACAATTGAAATTCGTTTACTAGGAGGTTGAATTCTTACCTCACTAATTAATATAATTTTTAAAATAAAATAGTATTTATTAAATATAAATATATATATATATATATATATTATATAAAATAAATATATAAATATTATATATATATATATATAAATTTATTTATATAATTATATAAAATAAATATAAATATATTTATTTAAATAACATAAAAAATATATTTATATATTTATATAATTATATTATTAATATATTTTTCTAAAAATAGTAAAAATATAATAAAAATAATAAAAATATTTATATATTTCTATAAAAAAATATTATTTGTACTTATTAAAATTATTTTATATTAAAAATATATTCAAATAATATATATAATTTATTTATGTAAAAATGTTATATAGAAAGATATAAATATTATATTATATATATTAAATATATTTGTTTTTACTATATTTGTAAAAATATATTAATAATATAATTATATAAATAATTTTTTTAAAAAGAATATATATATATATATATATAATATTTATATATCTTATATTTATATATCTTATATATATATATTTGATTATTATATTTAATAAATATTATTTTATTTTTAAAATTATATTAATTAGTGAGGTTGGAATTCGGCCTCCTAAGAATCGAATTCTAACTATGTAAGAAAATTGTGTTAGTCAGGTAAATATTGATAGAATGATGTTATTTCTAGATTATAAATTTAATAGGATGCTAGTAAAGAAAAAAAAATCTCGAAATATTTGACTTTTTACAAAAGTGTGCTACTCATGTAAATATTATATACAATATGCTATATATGAAAATTTATGTTAAAATAATACTAAGCTGGAAAAAAAATCAAAATAATGGAAGAGAGATACTCACAAAAGATTGAAGATTGAGGTGAGTATAATGTTAAGGTTTTAACTGAGATTAAGTTAATATTTACTTTTTTTTAAATATCGTTATATATATTATATATTATTTAATTAAAATTGATATGATTGCAAAATATTCTAATTTTCTACTAACTTAATTAGGTGTAAAGTTTATATAACTTTATATCTTATAATATGTTATATATAATATATTTTAAAACAAAAAATAAATACATTCTAATTTATATTTTTTAAGTTGATATCAAAGTAATAACCATTATTTGAAATCTCCAAGCGGAGGAAATGAAATTGATGCAACTGAAATGAAATTTGTTTATTATGTTAATCAAATTTAAGGAATTTTCAATAATATTTAAAAAATATATTACGATGACAAAAAAGATAAATAAATGTTAGAGTTGAGAAATGAGACTTTTATTATCAAACAAAATGAAAATGTATCTCCAATAAAAGCAATTATGAATAGTCTTGGTCATATTACTAATATTTTTAATGAGATATGAATGATTGATGCTAGAACTACAAATCATATGTTATTTTATTCTAGAAATGTCATCCAAATTAAATTATCTACACATAAATATATTTTTGTTGCACATGAAAATCAAACCCAAATTATTGGGGACATTTTTTTAAATCTTACTAGTACTTTAAATCTTGACTTTGTCTTATTTATTCCTTCTTTGAATTTTAATCATTTATTTATTTTTTCAACTTGTATGATAATTTTTTTACTTGACTAGTTATTAAAAAATCAAACAAACACAATTAATTATTGATAATACTAGAAGGGGAAACTCATATTACCTAGATATGAATTTTTTTTTTATAAGTTACAACAAGTTTTAACTTTTGATCATTTTAAGGAGGAAAATATAATATATAAAATCTGATTATGACATATAGGGACGACAAAGTGGAACCCTAAACCTCAAATTTGGTAAAACAAGTTAGTAGTTTTACCTCCCGTTTCGTCTAGTCCATTAACCCGACGAACTCGAGGACGAGGTAAGCTGGCCCATTGACTTGCTTTTGAAAAATATTTATATATTAAAATTTTAAAAATTATAATTAAAAATATTATATTTGTTTTGTTATATTATTAAAATATGTAGATATATTATAATTAAAATTATCAATAATAATCGATTAAGCTTAAATTATTGATTATAATTGGATATTTTAACACATAAACATAATAATTTGTTAACTTATATAATAAAAATATATTAATGGGTTGATTTACTACCTTATCAATTCATCTTGATTTGTATTTCATCTTAACTATGACGAATAAGCTAATCCCATTCATTTTTTAGCATGCTAGAAACGGGATGGATCAAAATAGGCGGATTGACCCATTTTGCCTTCTCTAATGACATTAATGTCTTAGTCATGCCTCGTTTCGGCATTTAAAAAAATATTTTTATTTTATTTAAAAATATGATGTTTCTAGTTTTAATTGTAATGTTTGTCACCTAGTAAAAAGTCATATAACTTCATATTTATTAATTTTAAATAAAAATCTTCAACATTCTATGGTGATACATTGTTGTGTGTGAAGTCCATCTAAAATTCAAATTTCAAATGAATCTTGATGGTTTTTTTACTTTTATTAATGATTGTACAAGAAAGACTTGATATATTCTTAATAAAAAAATGAGAAAATTTATTATTTATTTATTTTTTCATGAAATGGTAATAACTAAATATAATGCTAAAATTCTAGTTTTATTGGTAGAAAATATACAAATTATGAACTCTATTAATATTCAGAAACTAATGAAATTATTAATTAAATTACTTATCTTAATATATTTGAATAAATTGAGGTTGCTTGAGAGAGAAAAAAACACTTATTAAAAGTTGTTCGTGTTTTAGTAGACACACAAGTTATTGAGGTGTAACTATTATCTCAATAATATATTTAATAAATCAAATTCTCTCCAATTATATTGAATCTAAGACACCTTTTAAAATTATATATAATTTAATTATCATTCTAATAATTTCTAATTTTCTATCTCATATATTTGGATGTGTTCCATTTGTTTGTATTCATAACTATAAACACAACAAGTTGATCTTTTTAGATATATATATATATATATATATATTTATTGAAAGAATATATAATATATTTTTCTTAAAGAGTCTTATTTTTAGGGAAGGAATCAATAATAAATATAGACTTTAAAGTATAAAAAATATAATTTGTATCTATATATATGGTAATTTTTTATTAAAGTAAAATTTTGTTTACATTATCTATGTGAAAATAATTTTTAATTTAGTATTGTAATTTAAAAAAAACATTATCCAATTAAAATATATTAAACATTATAACATTTAATAAAATTTATGCGGATAATTAGAATACTTAACTCATCATATTTATATCTATTTCTGTTTACTTATTTTAATTCAAATCATAAAATAAAAAAAATAAAAGTGTTTCATAATTTTATCATGTGTTTGTTAAATTTACTCTCAACGATATACTATAATTATGTTTCACCAATATATACAACTATAAATTATTTCCTATAGATAACTATTAT